CCACTCTATGTGTTTGTGTTTATTTTACAATTTAATGTGTTTATATGGAGATGCATATTATTATTTATTTGAATTTGACGACAGATTGGTATACCTGATAATGGCTCTGCTTAGTCCAGTGGCCTACCCACTCAGCCTGGTTTTTGACCGTATCTTCGGTAACGAGGGCACTGGATATCACAAACGCTCGCAGCTGAAGGCTCTAGTTGACCTGCACGGACCACGGGCCTTTGACATCAAAAATGGTACTAATTGCTAAGCCAAATCCGTGTTAGGCCGAGTCGGTCTGCAGAGAAAATTTATCTAGCTTCGACAAGGTCCTTATTGATGCCATCATTAAAGGCCCTTAAAAGAATGTCTCTTGTGACAAGTATATTATGCCTCTCGATACTTACTTCTTAAATTTTAGTGTGAACTTAGCGCCTACTCTAATTATGTTGAAAAATTCAAAGATCTGTCCTTTAATTGCTTAATGAAATAAGGTGATTACATCCCAAATATAATGTTTCTCATGTCCTCGTGTCGCTCTCCTCATTTTCAAGTCTTATAATTCCTTTACTTTTACCTTCTTTGGACTGAACGAGGCATACAACAACTGTTCAGCCCAAAGTTGTTAAGGGATTGATTTCACCTGTATTTTTGACGAGTCTCATTGAGGTGCTATGAATGCCTAGGCTTATTGACGATACTTACTGCCATTCCAGTGAAACGTATGGGAATGTACCCTGTCAACGTCTCTACATTCGAAATCTTGATGACTACTATGGCAGAGGACTCTGCACAAAGTGTGTTCACCTAGTTTTCTATTACAGCACGAACAAATTAAAAAGACAGGATCTAACTACATCTATACCCAGAAGGCTTAGTTAGTTTTCTTAACTTGTATCATAGCAAGAGTACATCTCTTGGCCCTTGAAAAAACATTTATAATTAGGTTGTAGTTTAAAGCTTCTTGAATTTATATTTTAGCTCTGATTTACTGAATTATTGAGTTAATCGGCAATTCTGTTTTGTAAAATTCATTTATAAACATCCCTTCATATCTGTTATCCACACTC